GGTACCCCACTTTTAATGGCAAGAGATCAGGTGATATACAAGACAAGCCCATGAGAGGAAATCACTGCACCCTGCATCTTTTTTAAACAGTAATAAGATAATTGGAAGAAAGACCCAGGGCAAACCTGGCATTGCTCTGCAGGGAAATGTCTGATTGCTGCCTGGCCAAAAAAAAAAAGAATCACATAAATTCTTCCCCCTCCACCATAGGGACAGAGTAGCAAAATAAGTTCCCTTAGTTAGTGTCAGAGCTGGGCTTTCAACCCTTGGCCCCAAGCCCCGTCCTTGGATTCCCCACCATGCAGAGGCTCCACAACTGGTCTCCAACCGGACCCACCTCTGGGATGCTGGAGAATTTCCCAGAGCATTTTTCCACAGTAAGGGACACTATGGTCAGTCAGGGACTGTGGACACTCTTGGATGTGCCTGGCAACGGGACTCCTAGGCCAATTAACACCAGGGGGAGGGGAGAGTATGCATTTTACTGGCCACAGAGCTGGGGTCTCGGGGGCTTGCAGGGGCACCTGGGCTCTGTAACTCCGCATGTGGTCTTCACTTTCCTTCCCTTAGGGAGAAACTTCTGTTTAGAGCAAGAGTCAGCATCCTCCGGGGTGGCAGGCAGAGGTCTTTGCAAATCTCACTTGTGACCCAGAAGTTGATTTTTGCTTTCCTGGGCCTTGGTCCCTGGGGGTAGGCAGCAATGACAGATCCCGAGAGTCAGCCCAGGTGCCCAGGTGTAGAGACTAGTCCTCCAAATCCTAGAGTAATTCCATCTCGCAGTAAGCCAAAGTGTAGCTCTTTGTGCCTTTCCGAGGTCGGCCACTGCCTGCTGAGACCAGCAGAATTCCTGATAAGGGCAAGGCGAGAGCAGGCATCCACACAGAACCATCCGGGGTCTGGGTCTACCTGTGTCCCCTGTTCTTTGAGCGTGTAGTTACTTGTGCTGTTTTGACGCTAGGTGGCGAGCTAAGCATGATTTCTGCCATGGACTTAGCACCACATAAAATGAGCTGGGAAGCAGGGTCAGTGACTTTGGCAAGGCTCTGCAAGTGACACCTATTGCAGCATTTTACTCATCAAGCTGGACTTATATGGGTCATTTGGGGGGCTTTGGGTGCTCTCTACCTAAATTTGGAGAAAGATGTTTCTTTCTTGTCTGTCCAGGAAAGTCTCACAGCATTAGGGTTCTGCCCCTGATTTGTGGGTTGACCTTGGACAAAAGCCCGATTTTCTCCACCATGAAGGCAGGTGACAGGCACCTTCGGTGTTGGTTGAATTGTGGCTCTTGGGAGTCCTGGTGGGGAGTCCTGCATATGAGGGTTAGGAGTTCAGACTTCACCCTAAGAATCTCTATCCTGGGGTTCTGTGGCAAGTTTCATCAGAACACTGTAACTGCCCCCCAAAAGTGGCTTTAGAAATGACGGGCTTGGTGGCTGCAGGCTAGCCCGGTCCCTCTGGGCTCTCTGTGCCCAGTTCCTCCTTGACCTGTCTGTTCACAGACCATACACCTGGGCCTCCCAGAACCCAGCAGGATTCAGGAGTCACTGTTACTCCCAGCCCATCATCCTGCACTAGCCAAGGCCTGGCTGGATGCAAGAAGAGTCCTCTGCACCGTGGGCTGCTAAGATCTGAGAGAGGAGGGAGCCTGAAAGGCTGGGATCTGAGCCCTCAGCTCATGGGGGAGGAGCATTCTTGCTCTGCTGGAGCCCAGCAGTAACCTTGACCGGGGGGACGCCCAGAGAAGGCGTGGTCAGCAGGCTCATGAGGATGGGTTTAGGGGAGGGGCCACACTGAAATGCTCAGGATGATAATCCAGCCTCTCTTTTCTGCACGAGGAAACGAGACAACGAGTTAGATGGCAGCTCTCACCCCCAAACTTGCAGCAACTTCCCCCAAACTCCTGATATTAGAAACCTTTAGGGTGGCGAAGGGGATGGACGCTCCCAGCAGCAGGAGAGGGTCTGCCCTGTCTGCCTGGGTGCTGACTCAGCAATAGGACCCCAGTGTCCTCCCCTGTCATTCAGAAACCAGAGGGAAGAATGAGCGGTGTGAACACGGCTCAGTGTGAGGATGGTTGTCTGTGACTGTCAGAGCCCCGTGTGGGTCACCTCCAATGTCCAGTGGGGGGTCTGGAGACCGTGTAGAGGGAACACACTGGTCATTTAAAATGACAGTGCCAGACAGAGGCCCCCACACTGCCGCCGACACTCCACAATGGACCATGAACAAGGTTAGTGGGGCAGGCTGGGATTTTAAGTAACAGGCATTGCAGAGCAGCCTCCCAGGCAGGGCAAGTATTATGTAGACCACTGGTCTGTGTGTGTGTGTGTGTGTGTGTGTGTGTCTGTGTGTGTGTCTGTGTATCTGTGTGTGTATGCTTGAGAACACTGTGCCAGACAAGAAGTGTGTTCCAGAGGGGAGACAGACCAGAAGAAAGGCCACTAGACAGCTGACATTAGCCAGGTATGTCTGGTACGGGGAGGGATGGGGGATGAAGTGGCCCAGATACCTGTGCAGGTGACTCGTCACCTGACATCCCTGCTCAGCACTCCATGTTCCCTAGGAGGGGAATCTTGGGGGAAGGGACCCTTGTGCCTTTCCCAGGGACCTGGCTTTAAACCCAGCACTCAGTAGTACTTCCCAGCCAGGAGGGATTTTGGCCTCCACTTCCCACTCAGAGCATGGGGCAGCTGGAGTCCCACCTCAGAGGCCCGTGTGGATGGAATGGTTTGCCCTCAGGCCCTGGGACACACTGATGACAGTTCCTGTCCCCAGGCTGGTGTGCCAGGTGGTGGCCTCACATGGTCAGCTGGTGGACACCTGGCTTCTGATCTCACTGCTAAGCCCTCCAAGTTCCCCAGGGAGGGGAACGTAAGGGAGAGAGGGCATCTACCTGCCTCTGACCCAGAGGGACATGGCTTAAACCCCAGTGCTCATTATTGCTTACGGGACAGGACTTTTGCACTCAATGTGCAGGGGCCATGGGAGTAAGGGTCACTGTGGAAGCCACAGCGCTGGGCACATGGCAGGGACCAGTATTTGCTGTATAGGTAAATGAATGAGGAAGAGAATGAAAGAGTGAGTAAAGCAATGAGTGAAACCCAGGAGCAGGAGGCTGCACAAGAGGTGGTTTGCAGGGAGTCCATGTACCCAGAGCCTCGTCCTGGATCTTCTTCACCATTCCCCAAAGCAGAACATTCCTGGGACTAGCCAGCAGGAGTCACCTGAGGAGGGCCGTCCAGACCCTGGGCTCTGGAGAAGCCTTGTGACTGGCTGGCTGGTGGCTTCATAGAGGCACCAGGACTCTCCCTCAGGTGGTTGCCAGGGTGGGACAAGAGGACCCAGTGCAGCAGGAGATTCACCAGGACTGGGCAAACCAGGAGTACAATTGAGGTCATCACCAGCAACAACCAGAAAATCATACTTTCTCAGCTTGTTTGATATGTCATGTCATTCAAAACTGGCAACACTAAATGAGAAATTGACAGCCCTTGAGCAGAAAATAGAGTATACTGAAGCCTGGGTGACAAAAGGTGACATGCTCACCTAGAACTGTGCCCTGCTGCTGCTGGGAAGATGCCATACAGAACACAGGAAGCAGCAGCCTTCTGTTCCTCCTCTCCTTAAAGAGCAACAGGGCTTTTTCTTGTTTCTTTTTTCAAAAGTGTGGCCTTTGGGCTCCACCATGTATATCCACAAGTGTGATTTTAGCATGAGGGAGAGGTCCAGGGGAACTCTTGGGAAGAACACAAGGCATTTTACCTCTCAAGTAACATTTTATGGAACTAATTGTCAATGTATTTGAGGTTTTCAGAGCCAAAAGCCAGGGACTCTTTGTTAAGGCCCTCCCTCCTTCTCACTCTCCTCCTGGCTCTGACTTTCCTTACAGCTCATTGCTTCTGCACTGATTCAGTCAACAGTCTGTCTCCTCTCCATCTGTGGTGGGAGGGGGGGACAGTCCTGGCTGAGACACTCACGTCCTAGCAACGTAGCTTCCAGACAGTGTTCTAGCTCATTCACCAGTTTCTTGTCTTAGGGAGGTCAAGACCAGGTCCCCATTTGGCTTGAAAGGACATTTTCAGAGTTTTCTTTCTGTCACTTGGGGTGTCTATGCTTCGCGTATTTCCCTAATAAACTCAATTAAAAAAAAAAAAAAGGCATCAGGCACAGGTTAAGCATCTCAAAAGATATTTCTCAGGCAATTCTCACAACAACCCATCAGCCAGGCTTGGTGGGAGCTCCCGCTCTTCAAGGCCTGGCTGCATCCATAGTTAGGAAGCAGCGGGGAGGCCAGGCTTGGTCCAGAAGCTCCTGCCAGGCTGGCTTCGTTAATGCAAGATGTTTTGTGACTTCAAGGGCACTGGCTCCTGCTGCCAGCCTCCCCCCAGCTGTATGCAGCATGGGCAGCCTGGAGGGGCCCTCGATGGCTGCCAGTGTGTTTGCACCTGCAGACTTCAGATCTCTGAATGATAGCTTTGCTGGTCATGAGTTCAAACCAAATCTCAGCTTCCACGACCTTCCATATCATGAGGCCCTTGTACAAAAACCAGGAGGACCTGCGCCACCCATTGCCCTAGAAGGAAGGTGCTGAGTGGACATTGCCTGCAGCCTCCTGCTTTGTCTGTACTCCTGTGGGCAAGGGGCGGTATCCTGGGAACCACGTGCAGGGGCCTGAGGACACCAGCAGCCTATCCTACCCACAGCTGGGTCTTACCAGGAGGGACCCGAAGAGTCAGCAGGCTCCCACAATCTTTACTTAGCACCTGCCGCCCACACTGGGCCTGGGATAAAACCCACAATGCTGCCTCCCAGCCCAGGCTGGCTGTGGGCTCACAAAGTGCCTTCAAGTGGCAGCCGGCACCTCTGCCAACTCCATTAGGGCACCTTATACCCATCGCCTGAAGACAGGGACACTTGTAATGTGCCCAGTGGAAAACGCCACACCTATGAATGGCAAGCTCCCATCCACACTTTATCCAAATGGAAGATTTATTTCTGCTGGGGTCCACCATCTGTTTTTCCCACCTGTCCCAACCTGTCCCTTCTCCATGGTTTGTATTGCAACTTCACATTACAAAACAGCCCTTGACACCAGGCTGCTAGGAAAGCAGAAAGGACATGTTGCTTGAGAAAAAAAAAAACTGAGCTAGCAAAGTTCCAAAGTCAAGGTGGAAGCCAGGCCTTTGCAAGGGTCAGGGAGAACTGCATTTTTCAGCAGTCAGGGCACCAGGCCTCATGTCCTAACTGCAGCCAGTGGCCATTAAGGGCATACGATCTGCTGGCATGTCTGCCCCTACAGGGAAGATGCAGACAAGTCTCAGGCTCTTTGGCCCCTGGGAGGGAATATAGCTGAGTGTCATCAATAGTGACAAGAACCCAAATGCCTAGCACAGGAAGTGCTGTAGGGAGGCAGGACCAGCTAAGGGACTTCCAGATCAGAGCATGTCTGGCTGTCTGATGTAGGAGGACCAGCGAGGCCCTTCACAGGGACCGGACGACATCTGCCCCAGAAGGAGGGTCAGTTGTCACTTGGCCCTCGGCCTCCTTCAGGCCCTGCAGGCGATACAGGGCCTCCATCTGCCTTCGCTTCTCCTTGGCTCTCTTGATGGCCGTCCGGAAAAGCCTGCAGTAAAGATGGACGGCTGGGGGCGAGTCGTCATTGCCGGGGACAGGGTAGGTGATGAGGCACGGGTTGCAGTTGGTGTCTACGATGCCGACGGTGGGGATGCTCATCTTGGCAGCATCTCTCACGGCCACGTGGGGCTCAAAGACATTGTTAAGCGTGTGCAAGAAGATGATGAGGTCTGGTAGGCGGACCATGGGCCCAAAGAGGAGTGGGGCATTGGTCAGCAGACCGCCCTTGAAGTAGCGGGTATGGGCGTACTCGCCACAGTCCTGGGCCGTGTTCTCAATCAGGTGTGTGAACTGCCGGTTACGGCTCACAAACAGGATGATGCCCTTGCAGTAGGCCACGTGGGCAGTGAAGTTCAAAGCCAGCTGGAGGTGCGAGGCTGTTTGTTCCAGGTCGATGATGTCCTGGTCCAGGCGGCTCCCAAAGATATATGGCTCCATAAACCTGTTGGTGATCCCACCAGGGCCAGCATGATTAGGGGTCATGCACTTTTCCTGTGCACTGATGCCCACCAGTGACCCCCAGCTCCTCTGTGGGGGCACTGAAGGCTAGGAGGCGCAGTTTGCATCTGTCCCCATGAAAACAGATGGCAGTGAGGACCTGTCCAGGGAGTGACAAACCAGGGACGTAGGACAGTGGAGGTGAGAGCCAGGCTGCAGGCACTTACAAGCCTTGGTGTGTGGCCCAACCTGTCCCACCCTGGGACATCCAGATAGGACTGTCTGGATGTTCAAACACAACTCAGACAGGGCACTATGCCTGTGCTATTTGCTTGGCAGCCACTTCTGTTATTCTTCCATGTGACCTCTTCACTGGGGTGGCCAAACTGCAGAGGACCCAAGCTGTTCCTCCCCCAGGTCTCCTCTCATTTTCCATCATCTCTATAAATGGCACCAAGGCCTGCGCCATGCTGGGTGTCTTAAGACCCCTGCCCTGCCCCAAACCCAACCCCACACTGCCTTGAGCCTACTCACTGCTCTGGCTCTCCACCACCAGTGGAGAGGCTCTTCTGCCTGGGAGTCCACAATCACCTCCCTCTCTGGTTTGCCACCTGTTCCTCCAATCCTTTTCCCACCCAGCAGTCAGAACGGCCATAAAGAAATACCTGACTAGTAACTATCTCCCCACAGCGTAGAAGGTACTGCAGAATCCAGTACAGGCCCATATCACTGCCTGCCTATCTGCAGCAGTCCCAGCTGAGCCTATGAGTCTCACAGAAGGAGCACAGAAGAATAAATTACGGTGCCTCCTGGGGCTCAGTGGTCCCACTGGAAGGTGAGGGACTGTGCTCACAAAAACTGACATAGGCCTGTATAAGGTCCACTGACCATCATGGGGACACACCCAGCCAGGGTGGTTACCTGTGCCTGCAGCCGGCCTTGTGTCCCAGGTGCACACGGGCATCGAAGAGGCTCTTCAGAGAGAACAGCTCCTTGATGTTGAAGAAGTCAGCATGCTTGAGGGGCTCATTCAGGACTTTCTCCTGGAGATCTAGGGCAAGGAGGAGGAGAGGACACTGTGGTGACCCACCACCAGTGCTACCACCTCCCAAGTGTCTCTGGGAGTGAGGGCCAGGGCCGGGGAGGGGGAGAATCCCCGGGAAGGATCTGGAAGCCTCAGGAGGTCCTTTCAGGAAACTGAGGGCAATGCTTGATGGTGACTGTGCTACTGTGTAAACTGCTCAGCCCTGTCTCTTGTCCTTGTAAAGCAGAGGACAAAAGGAGAGATGCTCAGTTGGCTTCCGGGTCTCCCTGGCCTCCCAGCCATCAGGCCTGGCACTGGGACTCGATGACCGTGAGGGCGACCCACCCTCTACCGTGGGCTCCGAACACCGCCCCCTCCCCGGGCGGCTGGCACCCCGGCTCAGCCCCTGCCCGTTACCGCCGCCGTCCTGGGGCTCGCTGACCGCGGGGGCCAGGGCGCCTCCCAGCGTCCTGCTGTGCAGCCTGGCCGGGCCCGGGGCCGCCTTCGCGAGGAAACCGGGCCAGCACCTCCAGGGCCGGACACCTGCGGGGAGAGAGCCTGTGGCGCCGCGCCCCTCGGACCCCCCGACCTCGGGGTCCCCGCGCCCCTCGGATCCCAGGTACCCGCGCCCCTCGGATCCCCCGACCTCGCGGTCCCCGTGCCCCTCAGATCCCGGGTCCCCGCGCCCCTCGGCTCCCACGACCTCGGGGTCCCCTCGCCCCTCGGATCCCCCGACTTCGCTGTCCCCGTGCTCCTCGGATCCCGGGCCCCCGCGCCCCTCGGATCCCCCGACCTCGCGGTCCCCGCTCCCCTCGGATCCCGGGTCCCCGCGCTCCTCAAATCCCACGACCTTGGGGCCCCCGTGCCCCTTGGATCCTGGGGTCCCCGAACCCCCCCTCCGCCCCGGCTTCCCGGGCTCCGCGGCGCTCACCCGCGCACAGCAGCCGGGACAGCGCGGGCCGAGCGGACGCCATGGCGGGCGCGTGGACCGGGACGCGGCGGCGGCTCCTCCTGCATCGCCGGCCGCAGCGCCACCCGCAGGCGGGGAGGACCGCGCGCCCGGCTTCCGCCGCGCCTGCTCCCCGCAGAGGAGCCGGCCGAGGAGGCACCCGCAGGGCGATGGGGACTCTTGACCTCTGCCAAGTGCAGGGCAGCCTCTTGCTGTCCACGATCGTTTTCAGTGTTTGGACAGAATCTGGCTTAGGGGAATTCCGTGCCGTGAACGTGGCAACAACTCTGGTCTCCAGGAGAGGGGGGACGAGAGGTTACCCTGGTCTCCAGGAGCCAGGTGCAGCCCTGGCGTGCACAGTGGCTGGGAAATTGCTGCTTGCAATTTAAATCCTATTCGCTGGTGAAGGCCCAGGGCTTTGGGTTTCATTTGCCCCAATCCGTTGCCTGGGGACAATACCCGATGTGCCCAATAGTCCCAGAGAGACCCCCGCGTCCAGCCCAGGGCCCTGCAGTGAGCTACAGGCTTGGAGCTCCCCCGTGCTACAGATCGGAACTCGTCTCCGATCCGCGCGGCCCTTTGTTATTCTACTCGGAAGGTTCTAGACCGCAGAGGGGCCTAGGCGCCTTTAAGGACCCGAGCCTCCGGGTCAGGTGACGCCGTCGCCTAGCAACGTGACGCCGCACTGCCGCCTTTGGCCTTGGCTGTCCACAGCTAGGTTCCTGCTAGAGGCCAAATGTCGGCGGAAAGCCCCCGAGAGTGCGAGGAAAAACCCCTAGAGTGTGGGGAGAAACCCCAAGAGGGCAAGGAAAAACCCCAAGGCTGCACGGGTCCTGTAGAGCCGAAGGTCAAGGCCCCAGAGAAGACCTGTGACTACTACCGCGTGAGCAAGCACCTGCCGGTCAGGTTCAACAACCCCGGATGGTTTCGGGGCTACAGGTGAGGAAGACGAGGAGGTCAGGGTTCTCCGGGCATGGGCAGCAGCGGGTGCTCAGCCAGTCCTGTGTGGGAGGCCTCTCCAGGGCCCCCAAGCTCCTGCAGAGGTGCAAAGGAGCCAGAGATCAGCCAGGTGGCTTGCGGTGCCCTCATCACCGCCAGCCGGTCCCGAAGTGCTCCCCAAAGCTCCCACAGCCCTGACTGTGAGCGGCGGAGTGGGGAGACCCCAGTGGAAGTCACAGAACTCCCTTGGTTCTGGCCCTAGCTCCACTGTCTGTGACCAGGGTGTCTCCTCTCCACCTGAAATTTCTCTGCCAGAAGCGGGTACTTGAGCGGCTGTGAGGGTTACAGGGCAGCCAGGTGTAGGAAATAATAAGAAACCTGAATTGGGGCAGGTCAGGTGTCAGCACCTTCTTGCCCTCCTGTACTTAGTCCCCCTCCAGCCCTGTAGGGCAGGGTCTGTGGGTGTCCATGCTCCCATTCTCCAGTGGAGACTAGGGCCATGTGGGAAGACAGCTTTTGGGGCCTCCTGGTTGGAAGCAGAGCTGGTGTTGGAGCCACAGTGCACGCTGTGGACCAGTCCTGCTCCACATGTCTTCCTGCACCTGAAAGAGCCTGGCCTTGGCAAGGGCAAGGGGGGGCTCCGAGGGGAGGGACCCCTGGAGGCAGGGGCTGAGGACGGATGCTTACCTGGCTGGGTGCTCCTTGGAGCTTTGCCTTGGAAGGAGAGGGGAGGGCCCCATTTGTGCTGCATGGCCAGCCTACCTGGTGTATCGCCCTCCTTGGGGCATTGCCAACAAAGCTTCATCAACCAAGTAAGTTAAGGCCATTGGTTGGGCCGACGAAGAACAAAGGAGTGGGAACTGTTTATCCTCTGCAGGACCCGGGAGGCCGCCTCCGTGTACAGGACCAGTAACCAAGCTTATGGGAGCAGAGCGCCCACCGTGCACGAGATGCCGGTCCGTGGAAGTCAGGCGGCCGGGGGGAGATGGTCAGCAAGAGGACAAACTCTGCAATTGTCCTGAGGGTGGGTGGGAAGAGGTGGGGGGGCCCCAATTTCCAACATCACAAAGCAGGAGGCACCTCAGATCCTGGAGGGCCAGGGCAGGGTAGAGGTGTTCTAGTGCACTTGGAACTAAAATGTTTTACAGAAAGAGATAATTGCCTGTAGACTTCCTTCTCCATCACCCTCAGCTCCCAGTACACAGCCACACACATGCACACACTGTGTACACAGCCATCACACGTGCATACAGCCACCACACAAACTTCACACACACACAACCACCACACAACCTGCATACGTGCACACACCTTCATAGGTGCACACAGTCATCTCTTTTGCTCAACCTGAGGCCTTCAGATTTGAGGACATTCTCTCTGGAATTAAGCTTCATTTTGTGAGCTATTATTGAAACCAGCAGGCAGTACTGGCCGGAGCTGAGGTTACAGGAGGGCAGGCACATGGGGGAACAGGGTCTGTGTGCCTCTGGGACTAACTTCACCCTGGGGCAGCCATCCTGTGTCCCCTGCATGACCCTGCCAGGAAGTGCCTGATGGGCCAGCACAGCATCCCCTGCACCCTCAGGTCACTAGGATCCCCATTGTGGGTAAGAAGTTTGTGGAGGATTTCCCCAAATACTCATCATTTAAAATGATCTGGTTTACTGGTTGTGTTGTGTGAATATCAGAGCTCCTGTGAGGAAATCGTTTGCCAAGACCATTCTAGAATGAGGGCATCAGGCTCCCCCTCCCCTGCCTGGTACTGGGGATGGAATCGGGGCCTCACACGTGCTAGGTGTTGTGATTACTGCTTGAGTCATGCCTTCAGTCTCTTAAAACCAACCCACCAACAAACAAAAACCCATGTATTTTGAGACAGGCTTTTGCTATGTAGACCAGCCTGGTCTCAAACCCAAGATCCTCCTTCTTCAGTCTCTCGAGTGCTGGGATTACAGGCATGCACCACCATGACCAGCTGGGATCAAGCATATCTGTGAAAAGCAGGCACACTCACTAACACGGGTCTAGAAGTTTCTGCTTTTACAAAAGGCCACTGAAAACGCTCCTCTTGCAAATAGTGGGGTTCTCTCTTCACTGGGATCCCTGGGCAGTGAGGTAAGCTTTCCTGCTTCTTACCCACCTCGTCTGTCTGGAGCTGGTTGTTCCTGTCCAGTACAGGTGCTGGATTCGACGAGCAGCTGTTGGTGTTGACCTTCCCTGTGGGAATAGGAAATAAAAATGCTTTGTATCCTTCAGGAATGGGTGGGACGGAATTGTCGTCTCTGATCCTGCAGTGGTGGACATGTGTCCTTTGCAGGCATCTAAACCCACAGAAGTTTACCTCAAAGAGGGAGCCCTGCACACTCTGTGGCGTTTGGTTAACAACCAAGTGTCAGGATGGACTCATTTGTAGCAGGTGTGCCAAGATGGTAACAATGGGGAAACTGTGTGTGTGGCGGGAGAGGGATTTGGGAACTCTGTCCTTTGTGCTCAATTTTTCTGTAGATCTAAAACCTCTTTAACAAGTCTTTTAAAAAGTACACTGAAGCCATTTTTCTTTGCACTTGCCTCCTGCCAAGGAGACAAGACATCAAGTGATCTGGACACAACAGTAGTCTAAGGACAGGTGACGAGGGTAAAACACCTGGCAGAGGTCCAGGCTGCTCGTGTGAAAAATCTCCAGGTCACCTAGTGATGCGGGAATAACTCCCATGCTGGGTTCCTGCAGTTCTGTTGGCTCTTACGCCCCTCAGTAAGAGCTTGGAGCTTCTCAGCCTCGGCCTGGCAGCCCCTCCCCGGACCCCGGCTGGTGGGGGTAGGCACTGGTTGGGGTAGGCACAGGGGTTCCTTTGAAAACTTGACATGATTTTAACCCACATTTAAAACTGAAACCCACTCTGGTTTGGACCAGTGTCCCCCAAAGGCTCAGGGGTTAAAGGCTTGGCCCCTAGCTATGCTCATTGGGACATAGTGGGGCTGAGACTCTGTGACCCCACTGGCTCTCTGCTCTGTTGCTCCTGATGTGGGCAGTTTGTTCTGCCATTTGCTCCCCACCACTGACATCAAGCTTTCCCACCTGAGGGCCACACCAGTGTGTTTGGCCGATGTTAGACTGGAACTCCAGAAATGCTTAGACCTTTCCTCTTTGTTAGTTAGCCATCTCAGGTATTTTGTTGCAGCATCACAAAGCTGACTGATACTCACTGATGGAGATATTCTGTTCCATAGAAGAATCACCTTAAATTCAGCGAAGTCCAGTAACTTGCCCAGCAAGTTCCATGGGAAAAGCAGACCTGGGGGTCACCCAGGCCTGATTCCCGGGTTAACCAACACTCATGATCAGAGTCATGTGTGGGAGGGCCACACCCAGGTGGCCCTATAAGTTCTCCTGTCCATGTAGTGGTGAGCAAAGGCACTGTTCAGTTATTTCCAGACATCAGATGTCAGTTGGGATGGCTGGGGCAAACCAGAGCATTCCTGCCTGACCTGGCCTCTTTGCTCCCTAGGAATGGAGGGGCATTTTCTTACAAATTCCTGTTCTTCCAAAAACCTGTCCGATGGCTGAAGAATACCCTCATGCACAATGAACCCCAGTGTTTCTTTTCTCTTCCAGAAAGTATTTTATCCATGTTCAAACAAGTTTTCCAAAAAGCTCGCCGCCTGTGGAATGTTCCAGAACAATACTTTGAACGTCTACATGGAGAAGAGTGTGGTCACAGGTCCAGACAACTACATCACAGCCTGTGACCGGCTCGACTTCCACCCCAGCTACAATGTCAATAGGCCATCCATCTGTGACTGAGGGGCTGGACGCCCCTCCCCAGGAGCCTTCTGACTCCAACCACTGCCTTGCGGAGGCCATCGTGCCTGATCCCCGACAGCTGGCCCAATTGTAAAGAGGCAGATCTGACTGCTTTCTCCTAAAACAGAATAGAAAAATATGCAAATGGAGCTGTCATGTCCGGCTTTCTCTATTTTGCATCTAAGATGTACACAGAAAAGATGCTGATGGCTTGATTTTCTATTAAAAACATTGCCACAGTCTTAGTCTCTAACTTGTCTGATGTTTGTAATGGAGGAACAGGGCTTTGGGTGTCCTGAGACCCAAATTTTGGCCTGGATGCAAGAAGTACACTGGTGGCATCACCAGTGACTTTATCTGGAGCCATTGTCATCCACACGACAATGTGGCTGAATTCTACGCACACACTGCAGGGCCTGTGGGCAGCATGGTGTCCCACCTGGGCATGTCAGGGTCAAGGACTAGACCGGGAGACCGGCACCCTGTCGGCAAAGCTGAAGGGGGCATTGCAGTCCGTGATCTGTAGGAGGTACAAAGGGGAGGGGACAAGTGAGCATCCTCCAGCGGGAGTGTGGGGTTGGGGGATGGGTAAGTGAGATGGGAGGAAGACGGGCACCGGGCGTTCTCCCATCCAAGTACAGGCCAGACCCACCCCTGCTTAGCTTCCCACACCAGGTGTCATCCATGGGTGTTCTCTACGTTTATCTTAAAATTTCATTAAAAAGTTAAAGCAGGCAGGACATACCTAGCACTTTTCTAAGGTGGGAGATACCTACATTGAGTGGTATCTCATAGGTAGCTGTATGTAGTCCTAAATCAGTATTTACTATAGCTACAAGGTTCCCCAAAACGAAAACAATCGTAACCGGGCGTGTCCTTTATAGGAAATTCGGGAAGCACAGGGACCAGACAAAGGAGATGGTTCCCCCACGCCATGGAGGTCTCGTTTACAGACATTTTTATCCACGTGGCTCCCCCACCTCTGACTCAGGGAGGAAATGAACCATCACCCTGGGCCATTTCTTATTTGGTACAGAAAAGTAAACATTTGACAGTGTTCTTAATATCCACGCTGGAAAAGAAATGCTCTCCAGAGAAAATCAATATATCCGATAAAAAAAAAATACAGAGCCAAACTTGAGGTCAGAAGCTATGCAATGCTTTTCTTCTGAGCTGGAAAAGCGCCAAAGTGTCAAAGTGAAAATAGATTTTACAATCCTTAAACATATCCAAATGCCAATAGTCCTGTGCGTCTAGCCTCCGGAAATAAACGGACTCTGCCCCAGGACCAAGTTTCCAACTGTGCAGCGAAGGCATAGCCCTTCCTCCACGTGGTGGAGTCCCTGGTTTTCTTCCAGACCAGTATGGCCGAGCATCTGTCCTGCCAAGCCAGTGTCATCCCAGCAAGTGCGCATCCAAGGAAACCTCGGTGTCCGACAGAGTCTCCAGTTCTGGCTGAGGGTGGCATTGGGCCTGGGCTGGGAGTATCAGTTGGCAAACATGGTGTGTGACCATGGACAGGGCACGGTGGCTCACACCTGTAATCCTAGCTACTCAGGAGGTGGAGATTAGGGAGATCACAGGACAAGCCCAGCCTGGGCAAAAAGTTGTCAAGAGCTTATCTCAACCAGTAAGCTGGGCATGACGGTACACATCTGCTCCCCAGCTATATGGGAAACTCAAGTAGGAAGGTCACCGTCTAAGGTCAGTGCAGGGAAAAGTATGAGACCCTACCTGAAAAAGAAACTAACACAGAAAAGGGCTAAAGGCATGGATCAAGCGATAGAGTGCCTGCCTAACAGGTACAAGGCCCCGAGTTCAAGCCCCGGTAATGCATACTCCTGCACACACAAAGTGAGGCTGCACAGATGCTAAGTCTGTAGGCTGTGTGGGTTTAATCTGGTGTCATGTTGGGTGCTGAAATGCTGTAATTGGTCACGTCCAATAAATGCTATTTCTGTAACAGCTGCTGAAGGTGAGTGCAAGGTTAGGCTCCACACATTATTCCAAACTGAGGAAGTGTCTGGAAAGACAAAACCCCCACATACCCTTGATAACTCTGTCCTAGTCTATTTTCTGTTGCTATAACAAAATGCCTGAAGCTGGGTAATTTGAAAACAGTGGAGGGTTGTTTGGTTCAGGGATCTGGAGCCCACAAAATCCATGATCAAGGCACCTGGCTCCTGCTCCGCCCTGGCCGAGGAGGGCTTCTGGCTGCCTCCCAACATGGCGGGGGGGATCACATGGTGAGATGGAGCAAGCTGCCAGCTCGGGTCTCTCTTCCTCTTCTTACAAAGCCACGAATGCAATCATTGGTGCCCTATCCTCATACCTCGTCTAATCCTAACCCCTCCCAAAGGCTCCCCCCAAAATCAATTGCCATGTGAATTTCAAGACCTTCATCCCTTGCATATATTTCCAGGTGGAAATCTTTGTGTAGCAAGAAAAAGAAAGTTTAGACCCATTGATCTAACTGAATGCTGTTTTCTGTTTGGGAAGATAGTGTATAAAGGGGGGGTTCAAAAATGGAAAGGAAATGACTTGTTACCGTCCTACCATTCTTCCGACCTGTGTCCTGAGTCTTTCAAAGTCTTAGATCCCACAATGAAAAAGGTCACGAAGCCACGAGGGTGAAAATCCACTTCCATATGCCTTTGGAAAAGAAAGGGCACACCATTTCTAACCCCCTCTCTCTCCATTCCACGGAAGCGCTTTATTTGGCCTTTTAATTCCACTTGGAAATTAAAAATTGAAAAAAAAAAGTGCCAGGAATAGTGGTTCACGCCTGTAATTCTAACACTTGAGAGGTGGAGGATGGAAGATTGTGAGGTCAAGGTCAGCCTGAGGTACATTCTGAGAGCCTGTCTCAAAACAAAAACAAAAAAACCCACTAGGGGTGTAGCTCAGTGGCAGAGCACTTGCTAGCAGGTGCAAAGCTCTGGGTTGGACCCCCAGCACTGCAAAAAAAAAGTTAAAAACTTTCATGATTTTGCTATACTGTTGAGTTGGTTTAAAACCAGTCACTTCTCACTCTAAGATTACGTTTCCATTTCTGTATTTTTCAGTAACTTTTTTATAGTTGATTAGAATAAAGTTTCAGATACAAAGTAAAATATGGTGAGGTTGATAAAAATCTCTTATATTCAGCGCACAAGTTACCAGAAGCCTTGAGGCTTCAAGTAACACAGTAACTTCGTCCTCCTTGCTGGGTATTGACCGGGTTGTGATTTGAAGATGTCAGTTGTAGGTGCTGGTTTTTTCCCCCTCGAGACAGGCCCTTCCATTAATTCTGAGAGGGGCATCAAGCATTTAATACCTTTTATGTTTTGATATGAACTAGTATTCAAATTATTGCCTTATTTTCCAATGCCCAACTATCTCAGACCAGAGAAAAGCTGCCATCTATTCATTCACTCCTGAGTGACTTCCCTTCAGGAGGCTCTCTCCCCAACCCAGGATGAACCACCTCTTAAAATCAGGCCTCTCCTCATTTGTTGCATTAAATGAAGGGGACCCCAGCCCTCTCCCTGGGAAGAGAGAGGGCTCTTGGGGTATGAGGTGGCTCTAGGTGTTCACATTGACTGACTTGCAAAGAGCTTGATTTGGTGACCGGGTTCACAGTGGCCCTCTCTAGAGGGTGGGCACACGTTTACTGTGTCATCAGCAGCCCAGGGATGCTGTGCCAGGGCTGCATCCCTCTCCCCCCTGCAATGCTCCTGCTGTAGCCCCTTCCACACAGGGAAACCGCAGGGCAAAGCCTCCCAAAGCAAACAGGAGGCCAAGGCCCCAGCATTGGCCAGAGCAGACCCAGTGTGTGGGACGCCAGGAGAGCTCTCTTACCACTTACAGGGGCATGACTCTGGGAACATTAGTGCAGTCAGGTTCCTATGCAAATGGAATCCTGCATTGCCCGGTTCCAAAAGGTTCCATGCTACTGAGCTACCCAGGGATTTTGACCAGAGGCTGCAGGAGCCCCTGAAGCACCCAGGCAAGGAAGCCTCAAATGAAACCCTGCACAGGCTGCTCCTGGAACCCCTCAGGAGAGCCATCCAGCCAGCATTTAAGCAAGCCACTCTCCCACTCTCTGGACCACCAAGCCTGTCCAGAGGTAACAGTGAGCAGCTGAGCTGCAGGACAACCCTGTGTGGTGGAGTGCACCACCAGGAGGCCCCAGCAGTGACACAAACTGAAAATGGGGCTAGAAGGTTGGAGGAGGAACAGAGCTTCACAGCCTACCTCCCAAGACTGGAAGGCAACCTGTCCCGTTGTGAGAGGGAGTGCTGCTCCTGTGTGCGCACAGGAGCGCATTGACCAGAGCTGATGGCAGTGCCTGATAGATGCCACATCCCTTGGCGGGGGTTGGGAGGTGGCGTGGTGAGGGGAGGGCAGTGGCAGGAGCTCCAGCCCACACTGCTGTGCAGAGCCTTGGTGCAAAGGACTCAGGAACAAAGTGTTATGGGCTCCCGGGTTTGGGAGGAACTGCAGAAATGAACTCGAGTAGGGAATGGGGGAGCTGAGGGTAGGGTGGGATGCTCAGGGCTGAATGCTCTGCTTTGCGGGTTGTGGCTCCTCCTCCTCGAGATGGGTCACTGCCCCATACAGGCCAGACTCCGCTTGGAGACTCCAGGAGGAAAAACGACATAAGCTCATTTGTGGGTAATGTTTGATTTATTCATTAAAAAAAAAAAAAAGCAATTCTTATATACAAAACAAGATGGATTTTGTCTTCAAGGGTTAAAAGCACTCTTTAAAAAATTAAAGCAGGGAGCACTGGTCACACAGAGCGGTCTCTCACAGAAGCACGGAAGTGAACGAATGTGCCGCACATTCGTCGAAACAGCTGAGGACAGCACAGGACCGCGGTGCGCACTCCTCACAGCTCCGACTGCAGACGCGCACTGTGGATGTGGGGGACGCACGTCTGCATTTGGGCACAGAAGTGAACTACTATTAAGACCCAGGTGCACAAGGTGTAGGAAATTCCATGTTATAATACCAACGAAAGTCAGTTACAGCAGACCCTGTGTCACAGCTAAACCAGAATGCTGAGTTGCAAAACTTGGAGTAACTGGGAGACAATCACAATACAGACGTTTTGACCCTCCATGTCCATCACGGCTTCTGTCCCCACAGTAGCCACGGGCATGATGCCAAGGCAGTATCACCTGGCCCCACTGCAAGGACCAGAGGCCACTGCCTACAACCAAGCGGAGGTGCCAGCAAGGCCCCTGGTTCTGCCCCAAGAGGCAGGCCACAGAAGGCCACGCGAAAGGCTGGCTTGGTTGGGCACGCCTGACCAGGTCCTGCAGGGCAGGTGTGAGGAAAGCCTGTCCTACTGCTGGGTTTGTCATCATGGGTGACCAATTTGTGGACGAAACCACCCTCATGACTGCACTATACATGTGCCCAAATCAAGAACAGGATGGCAAAAACACGGGAGATGTCACCTTTTAGAAGATCAGTGAACTCTCGCACAAAGAAGGTTGCTTAGATCTTAGAAATGTCTAGAGACCAGACAGGACTGGACCCTGAATGACCGCTCAGGGCTGAGCTGGACTTTCACACATGCCAGGGGTGACCAACCAGCTGGCCATTGTGCTTTGAAGTGGTTTTCTAATCGCAGGCTGTGACTGCAGTCCTCAGAAGATGCAGGGATGAGGGGTCCTTTATAAAATGGGCCGTCCCAGCGGCGTCCCGACACACCTAGGCATCTTCACGCTTCTGGGGGAGGGCAGCTGCCGCCTCCTCCAGGCCTCACCATCTATAACACTAAGTGGCCAGATGACCGGCCTGAGTCTTTGACCCTAGCAGGGACAGAAAGAACCAAATGTTTGCTAATCTACTGCTGGTATGCAGACCACAGAAAACTGTAGTTAGGAACGCCCTACAAAATCCAACGACAATATTTTTCAAAAATATTTTTTACAGCACTTTAAATAATTTACAAAAGCTACAAAAACCATATTTACCAGGACACATCTGTTAAATAAAAACGTTGCTTCATATATACAGGGTACGCAGAAGGGACTTGGTTTTTGCTCTTTAACCAGTATCCTCCATTCACACGCAGACAGGTGCAAAAATGCAGTCATGTGCACACATACACTGCTTCCCCCGGATGCATCAAGGACCAGGACACCTGTCACAACTTGAGGACTTTGCCTTTCACCACTGCGCTGCCACCGCCGTCCTCCACAGAGGTGTCGCTAAATTCACTGGCGTCACTACCCAAAGCCTCTTGGTCCTGGTCGTCTCTTTCCATGGCGCTATGTCGGTACCTCAGGTCCAGGATCTTTTCCTCAGGACCTGAGCTCCTCCTGTCGTGCAGACCGAGACCCCCCTGTGTCTTCTTGTTTGGCCAGTGCCCACTGTCCTTCCTCATGAGCACATCTGGGCTTCCAAACACAGGGCTGTGGCCGGCCTGAGTCTCCCTGAAGGCCGAGAAGGCTGGGCCCTGCAGAGGCAGGCCTAGGTGGGGACTAAAGAAGCCAGTCTGCTCACCCCCCACGAAGCGCTCTTTCCAAAGTGGAACAACTGGGTGGAGAGCAGGGGTGAGAAGCCTGAGAAGGGCAGGTTCTTCCTGGGGCCCGCAGTAAGGTTGGGCGGGACCCTGGCCCGTCCCTCAGAACCCTGCTCTCTGTCCCCAAGACCCCCTGTCCACACCGAGCCTAGACCTTCTGAGTTCAGTGCCCATGGGTTGGGCAGCCTGCTCTGGTGGGCAAAATCGCTCCAGGGTAGGGTGAGGTCAGCCTGGGGTCCTGGGCTGGAGGTCAGAAAGGTCCGGCTCCCATAGTTCACCTGAAAGGTCCCCCCAGCACCTCCAGCCTCGGTGCCCACTTTGGCACAGTTGGACAGTTGGCCAAAAGCACTTTCTGCAGTGGCAGGCTCGGCACCTCGTGGGCTCTGGTCTTTGTGAACGTAAGTATTTTTCCTACTTGCTGGAGAAGCTTTCACAGAGATGGTTCCACTGGTGCTCTTGGGTAGTGCTGGTTCACATCTGCCCAGAGCAGCCGGGAGGCGGGTGATGTGCTCGGGGTAGGGGGCGCCCTTTCCACCCTTGGCAAACAGGCTGGCTGTGCCCTGTGACCCAGCTCTCTCTGTGCCCCATGCTCCTTCAGTCAGCTGAGGGACCCCCCTGGTCCTCTGGCTCCGTGTGCACACACCGGACTGCAGTACTGGCTCTTTCTTGCCCAGCACCTCTGGCCTAGCTGGAGCTCCTGGTCCGAGAGCAGTGGGATCCCCTGTTTGAACTTCTGAACTGCTCACAGATTCCTTGGCCTTTTCTGCCAAAAACTTCCTGATCTCCAGTTCAATGCTATCATCACTGTCCACTGAGCTGTCCTCAGACAGGGAGGTAGGGTTGGGGGCTGAAGGTGACTGGCTGCAGGCTCCTGTGTCCTTGGAGAACAGTGTCTCTTCAGGGGCTTTCCTCTTTGACTGGAAAGCTTGGGCTGCATCTTCGCCCCCTGGTTTTGTTCTCTCTGGTATGCTGTTGAAGATGCCTGGTGGTCTTCTTCCTGGGCCGACCCTGCTATTGCTTCTGGACTTGGACAGGCAGCTCCTCAGCACTGGTGGGCCTCGATCAACCCAGTCTCTTGGGAGGCTGCCAAGTCTGCCCACGAACCGTGTCTCAGTGGTGCTAAACCTGACTTTCTTCTTGCCTGCAGCCCGAGGGTCCCTGCACCTCTTCTTGACCTTTCGCTTGGATCTCAACAAGTCCTTGATGGCCATGTCCAGGTCCTCGTCACTGTCCAGAGAGCTGCTCTTGTCCTCAGAGCTCTCTTTCTCACCAACACTCCGACCCTCGTCTGGCTTCCCAAGGTCCCCATGTGCGTCACTGAGTCCAACTGTTCTGGTGAGGGCAGGCTGGTCCCTGGCCTCCTCCCCCACTCCTGGGACCTCGCTACCTTTTCCCTGGTTAGGTGAGTCCTGCCCATCATGGCCAGGCTGAGCCTTTGTCTGGCTGCAGTCACAGTCCTGGACGCTTTCTCTCACCTCCCTTGTTTTCTTGGACACGGTTGGCCTCACAGTGCTGCTGCCTCCACCCCTCCGTTTTCTTTTGCAGGTCAGAGGCAGGTCCAGTGTTTTAGAGAGAGGGGTCTTGGGAAGGCCAGTTTGGCTGTTGGGGCTAGGCAGCAACAGTGGGCCCTGGGTAGGCTGCGGACTTCCAGCCTGTGCCTTGAGAGCCAAAAATGTCCGGATCTCCTGCTCGATGCTGTCATCACTGTCCACGGAGCTGCTATCACCGTCAGAGTGGGAAGGCACAGTGGGGGAATAGAAGAGTGGGCTCACAGGTGGAGGCCTGCCACTGCCCTCTGTGGGGATTGGCAGGATGGTTTTGGAAATGTCCAGGATTGCTTCTGCACACATCAGCTCTGCAGACGTGTCTGCCCGGCACAAGGCCTGTTCCACAGAGTCACTTCTGGTGGCTGTGTGTCCTGGAGGGGCAGAGGTTTTGGTATCCTTTGGTAGCTTGGAGAGGTGTTCAGGGTCCAGACCCCCTGGGGTGGGGTCCACGGCCTTGGCAGCTGTGGGTTTCTTCTTGCTTGGGGCTTTCCTGTGGGCCTCACGCACGACACTCTGCGGAGTGCTGCCTGTGCCGCTGGTAGGAGGATTGGGTTCCTTCTCCTCTCTGAGCTGAGCTCTGGACGATGGGTCCCCACCAGCCTCCTTCCTGGTCTTCTCCAGCTGGTACAGCTGGATGGCCTCCTCTATGCCGTCATCGCTGCTGGAGTCAGAGGCTTCATGCACCAGGGCCGTGCTCTTGACTCGTCTGCCCCTGCGGCCAGCACCTGCACTCCGCCTCTTCCCACCCCTACTCTGTGCTGCCTCTGGCCTGGGGGCGGCCGGCCGTGTGCTGCCAGGGTTCTCGGGCTCCGTGACTTTAGGCCGCAAGCTTCTGGGCTGTGCGTTCACCTTCGCTAACCTGGGTGGCTTGTGGAACACAAATTCCTTACAGGCTCCGATCAGATCCTGCCGGGGCACAGACCTGGTCGGGGGTTCTCTGTGGGATTTAAACCTGGCTAAATTTTCATTTGGCTCTGTCTTTTTATCCTCACACCCATTACATTTTTGGTTTTCATGTTGTCTTTTTTCATTCAGAAACTGCTCTATTTCTGCTTGGATGCTCTGTTCAAAGGAGTCCTCACTGCTCACGCTAACTGGGGAGGCGGAGCCCTGGTCCTCACTGGCCGCCACAGAGCTCTCAGGAACACTACCTGAGCCAGGGGCCAGTTTTGGGGGACATAGGGTGGGTGGAGTGCTGCTGTGGGCAGGCTCTGGGGGGTTAGGCCGGGATGCCCTGCTCTTTGCCTTCAGATACTCTTGGATGGCTTCCTCGATGTCCCGGTCCACAGAGTCATCACTGTCTGAATCCAGCACCAAGGGGCCAAGGCCCGCAGTCTCCCCTTCCCTCAGGGGCTCACGATCTGCAGCAAGACCGCAGGCAGCAAATGCAGGCTGCTCTTTGCGCACGGTGGGGCTTGCTGCCAGCTTGGTGTCACGGCACCGCTCTGCCCGTTGGCCTCTCTGCATGGCACACCCATCGCTCATGCCCAGAGTAGCCTCATTGTGCTGCAGTGAACTGATTATCATCTGTACCCTGGCGCTCACCGAGGCTCTGGCAACTTCTTCTTTAGACTCTGAGAAGTAGCCGGGAAACCGGAAGGTCCCGGGCGGGCCAAAGGCCTCCCATCTAGACTGCAGCGCGACCACTGGAGGGGCATTCATGAGGAACATTCTAGCAGGCGGGCCAGGCGTGCAGGGAGGCCTTGCTTTGTCTTTCAGCTGGTTTTACATCCTATGACGAAAGAAAGCAGAGAGGCACTATTCATGTAGGGAATCAGCTATGTCTGGGCTACAACCCTACATCCAGCTGGCTGAGGCTTCCTAGGCCTCAGTTTCCTCTGCTGTAAAAAGGAGGCACCTCCTCCCTCTGGGCCAGAGCTGCCGTGGAGACACGGTAAAATGCTTCCAAGCCCTGGCCCTGTGCTCACACTGAGCACACAGTGTCACTTCCACACCCCTGCCTTTCTTCTTGCTTCCATCTCTCCGTAAAAGGACAGCTGACACATTACTTACCTCTAAAGGCTGTCCAGAGGAGCCAAGGCCACATGGTCTGCAAATGCTTCTTGGTGCATTAAAGAGAACAGCTATTAACATGGCCAGGTGAGCCAGGCTCCATGGGTGGATTCCTTCCTGATGGAACACATACACTCCTGAAACAAAAAGTTGCACAGTGTTAGCGACTCAAACCTTTCCCAAGCACCTTTCAGAGTCATTTTCACTAAACCTTTGTATGTGAAAATGGCAAATGTATATTTGCCAGATAGGACTCTATCATTATTTTTAGCTAATTAGCACAGCCCTGATCATCCTGTGGGGTCACTGCCCAGCTTCCATATCTCAGTGGGGCTGGTCTTGGGAACACTCTGAAGACCGGCTCTCAGCCGCCTTCACTGGAAATGCCTGGGGATGGCCACTACAGAGAGGAACACAATGTAGACGGCACATGGTCACTTAGAAACATGCCAGCTGCGTTGTACACTGTTAATTCTTCCCCGGCCCCTGATGCCCTCCTGCCTCCCCCACGTTGGAGGGCAATGTTCAGATGGAAGAGAGCCTGCAAAGCTGGCAGAGGCACGTTACTTGGGACAGGCATGGCAAGGCTATCCCACGTCTGCCCCATGTCCTCTGTCCCTGCCTGGTGGCTGCTGGTCTGTGTGTCCACTCTGCATCCCTCATGGACCTGGCCAGCTCTGTTTAACCAGGAGCTTCCTGCCCACAAGCACGTGCTCTGCTGTTTACAAGCCTCATGGCTTTGCCCAGAGGTGGGGCCAGCCACCTTGAGTACAGAACCACCTAAACCATGGCAGAACCAACAACGATCCGGAGGAGTCATTAATTCAGAAGCAACTGCTTTGCTTTTACTAGTATGTGCTCAAAAAGTGAAAGTAAAATCCATTACTTGAAGTTCTCAGGTCCAGCTCATGTTCCAAAAACCTTCAAGCTTAAGGTCCTCACTGCCCAGTGTTCATTCTCAATCATCTCGGCCAGTTTCCACTCCCACAACCCAGGCTGGTTGCAAAGCCAAGTAGTTCAGGGTGTCCTCGGGCTTGAGCTCCTCCTATCTCAGGCTCCTGAGTACAGGGATTACAGTCGTGTGCCACCACGCTGGTGCCCTCAGCCAGTGGATTTTTTTTTTTTAACTACTAGGATTAAAGAGAGTAGGACACATCTAATTCAGAGACTGAAGTTAAAGTTCATAAATATTTTTCTGGAAAGACATATTAACAACTTAAAGGCTCAAAATTAAATTCGGGAAGCTCACACCCTGAGACCAAATACATTAATCACAGCTGACTGACACCTCTCCTGGGTCTGACCAGTAGGGGTGAGGGGCGGGCATGCCTGCTGGTGCCAGCTACCAGTTCTCACATTTTACCATCCATTACAGCCCTAAAGTCACCTTCCAGAAAGAGCATCACAGGCACAGGGCAGAGGGGACCAGCTGAGATGGGCTTTTTCATTGGGTAGGGACCAGTGCCTGCCTGCTGTGGGCATTACTCAAACACCAGGGCAAAACTATGGAAATCACAAAATATTGCCATCAACCTAACTCTTTAGTGAACTAGGTACAGTGAGGAGCTGAACCTTGCACTGCCTGACTGTCACACGAAGTCTGTACCTTGAGAGAGAATATCATCTCGCCCACTACAGAGCTGGATTCCCAGGACAGTCTTCTGAGTTGTCCACCTACCTGGTCTAAAACATCAAACGCAGGGGCAGTCATTTGAACAACCCCCATACAGCCAGGCAAAAGTGTGAGCTGAAGCTGAGACCAGGCTTGCCCCTGGAATCAAGTCTCTAGGGTGGCTGTGGGATACCCAGCACCTGCACCTGAACCACGTGGAGTCAGAATTTAAGGAGTGCTGGAGGGCTCTGGGCATTTCTCAAGCTGAGAGGGCAAACCAGGTGAAGCCCTGTCAAGGACACTTTCCAGCAACGCCCGCAGGCCACCTCTCAGTTCCCCTCAAGTCAGGTCAACTTGAGTCTTTGGCGCTAGGGGAGGTCAGGGTCTGCATGCCTTGGAGAAAACCTGTCCTGGAGGCGCGTACAGCAGCCCCAGCCAACTCGAAGTGGGCGTGGGCTAGATTCAGTCCCTAGCGGGCTGAACAAGATCTCAGCAAGCAACCCCCCCCCCCGCACCCAGCCAAATTGCAGTGCGGTCCCAGAGCCGGGGTGGGGGTGGGGGCTGGAGACACCGGGCCCTCACAGCTGCCCCTGCCCTGCTACTGCAGGCGCGAGGGGGCCGGGGGCTCGTCTCGCTGCCAGGGGGGCGCCTGGAGCAGCAGCCTGGTCCTCAGCCAGGAAGAGCGCACACCTCCCGGGGGAAGGCCTCCAGCAGGTCTGCGACCCCCACCCCGGAGCTATTTTCTGGGTTACGAGGCTTGGAAGTCTGGGGCCCGGGAGCTCGGCCACCCTCCCGGAAGCTCCGCCTGGCGCCAGGCCTGCAGGCCGGCCAGGCCTCGGCCGTCCTTACAGGGCAGCGGCCGCCCGGGGCTAGGCCCGCCGCTCTCCCGCCGCGGGCCTCACCTGCGCCTCACCTGGGCCCGGCCCGCGCCCGCCGGCTCTCGAGGAACGCGGGGCGCGCAGCGGAAGGCAGGCGCGGGAGACGCCTCCGGGGCCCGCGATCCCCGCCCGCCGCGCGCCCCTTCCCCGGAGCCCGGGCCGCCCGCCGCGGCCTGCACGGCCCCGCCGCCCCGCTCACCTCGGCCGCCCGCCCCGCCTGCGCCCGCGCCCGCGCCCGCGTCCGCGCCCCGGGGAGGCGGCGGGCCGGGAGGCGAGGGGAGGCGCGCTCCGCCCTCGGCCCGGCGCCGAGAGGGGGCCGCGGGGTCCCCGCCCGGCCGCGCCTCCCGCGCGCCGCCTCCCCTCGCCCGGCGCGCTGTGGGAAGCGCGGGAGGGGCGGGGCCGGAGCGGGGGGCGGGGCGACCCCCCCCCGTGCCACCCCCCTCCCCGCCACCTACCCGCGGCGGCGGCGGCGGCGGCGGCGGCGGTGGCCGCGCTCCGGAAGCCGTGCCCGGTGGCTGGGCATCATGGGAATGGCACGGCCGAGTTCCGGAGGAGGCGCGCGGCCCGGCCGGACCCCCGCCCGCGAGAGCGCGCCCACCTGCCGCCGAGCTGCGCAGAGGTCGGGAGCGTCCCTGACGCGGCCGAACCAGGGGACGCTGCTGCTCGGACTCGGACGGGGCTCGCGGCGCGGCTGGTGACCTAATGGTCGCCCGAGGATGCCTGTCCCCAGGCTCCGGGCGGGGGGACCCTCCGGTCGCGCTCACCGCCGGCTCCCCTGGCGCCGAGGGCGCGCAGAGCGCGTGTCGGAGGTCGGGCTCTGGGAAGTTGGCCACGGCGAGGGGCGTGGCCGTGGGAAAGCGCGTGGAGGGGCTGCGTTACTACTGTCAACACTGGCTCAAGCTGCCGTGTCACTAGACTGTCCTTCTGCTCGAGTGGCCCTGCGTACCTGGCACCAGCGCAGCCCAGCCCTTCGCATCCTCTGGCTAGCAGAGGTGCCACCCCCCCATCCCCCGCCCCACAGTGTCCCCCAGGCCTCCTGCTCTGCCTAGGTCCCCCAGCTGCCTTTGGCCACTTTGGTATGCTTCAGGTTTGGGTGTGTGCGCCCTTCCCTGCACACTTTAGCTCCTTCAGCCTCACCCCACTCTAGGGTTAGGAGAAATCTACCCAAGGTCGCTCAAGGAACTTCAGGTGACCGTTCCCCGGGCATGCCTGTCCCCTGTTTGGCTTTGCAGTTCACTTGCCCTGTGACTTTGGAAGTTTTGCTTGTTTCACAGTGTAGAGATATTTGTCCAAAGTGCTGCAGAAAGCAAGCCAGGCCGACCGTGGGCCCTGAGGCCCCCACCCGGGGCACGAACATGGAAGGGGCAGATGAATTGCCGACTCCTCCCTTCCCCTTACAGAAAGTGCCAGAGATCTGATAGAACCCAAACCCAGAGCCTGTCCTGCAGAGAATGAGAAGGGGGTATTTCTCACCTCACCTGGGGGAGCGTGGGAGCTGGTGTTGGGGTCAAGAATGTGTTAAACACATTTGAGTGCCTCGGTGAATTTTTTCAGTAAACATTTTCTTTCTCATCGTAAAGTAACACTGTTAACACTTGTCAGGAATGGGCTCTTGGGGTGTGGACTATGGGTGTTTTGACATGTTTTAAACCCAGTGCGGTGACAAGTGTCTTTGGTGTGTCCTTGGAACCACTCTGTGCATTTCTCTAGGACAGATTCCTAGAAGACAGCCCTCTGAGGCAGGGACGATGACATCTTGCCAGATGCCCTACAGGATGCTGGTACAACTCGCTGTCTACCCGCCTCCTGGCCAGCCCTGAATTATGCCAGCACATTCAGTCTTTGGCAGTCTAATAGGTAAAATAAGCAAATATGCCTTTTTGTCACTTTCATTTCAGGTTTTTTTTTTTTTTTTTTTTGGTGGTATTGGGGTTTGAACTCAGGGTCTGTGCTTGTTAGGCAGGCGCTCTACCACTGGAGCCACAATCCCAACCCCCCCTCCATTTTAATTTCTTTAACAACTGGTGATGTCGAGCATTTCTTCATTTTCTTGGTGGCCGTTTGGAAAACTGCCTGTATGTGTTCTCTGCTCTTTTAAGATTTTCCTATTGGGTTGTGTCTTTTTCTTATCGGTTCAAAGAGCTCCACCTCCGCCGTTCCTTCACGCACCTTGCATTCGTAGTTCCCAGGCTGTCTTCTGTCTTTTGACTTTGGAGTTATGTTTTTGTTTTTGTTCTCTAAACACAAGTTTTAAACTTTTCTGTAGTTAAATCCATCAGGTTTTCGTGGATGGATTCTGAGCCTGTGGTTAAGGGTGGAGATGTCTTTTACCTGCTGAGTGTGTGAGTCAGCCTTTGCCTCACTGTGACAAAATACCTGAGATAAACAACTCATAAGGAGGAATGGTGTCAGAGGCTTCAGTCCATAGCTGCTTGGCCCCATCCCTTTGGGCCTGCGATGAGGCAGCACATCCTGGCAAGGAGCATAGGGTGGAGCCAAGCCTCTTACCCCATGGTGGTCAGGAAAACAGGAAGACAGAGGAAAGGGTCGGGTCCTCAGATCCCTTCAAGGGCACACCACCAACGACCTTGTTTCCTCCCACTTTCTAAAAGCTTTCTAAAGCTTTACCATCTCCCAGAAGTGCCACCTGCTAGGCACCCCACTTTTACCATATGGGTCTTTGGGGAGCACTTCAGATTCAAGCTACAGCACTGAGATTTCATAAGCATTTGCTGATTTAATGGCTACAGTTCAAAACAGGAGTGGCGTGATGCAGGCCTGTGGGACTGAGATGCTGGAGTCTTAGGCAAAAAACAATTTCTCAGGGGAGAGAGCACCTTTTTCTTTTGAGAAAGGTCTCAAAGGGACCAGCTGCCCAGCCTGCTGCCCAGGCTCCTCTCGACCTCCTAGACCCAAGCGATCCTCCTGCCTCAGTCTGAGTGCTGGGACCACGAACACTTGCCACTGTGCCCAGCCCTGGGGACATTCTCTACTCTTTCCCAAAGCTATTGGCCTTCAGCTATTGTTTGTTGTATATTATTTTTTGTTGTTAAGCATTCAGGAGGCCTCACCTCCTGTGCTAGCCAGGGCTACATCTGAGGAATGAGAGGCGCCTGTTTTGGTCAAGGCTGTCCTGTCATGAGTGGTGCCTAAGGCAAGAGGATTGAGAGTTTTGAGGCCAGCCTGGGCACACAGTGAGCTCCTGTTTCAAAATGAATATTCATGGATGCAGATGCAGCCATCTACATACTCACTTGTCCCGTGGGTGACATACCTTCCAAGGCTGGGCACAGTGGAGTCCACCCTCCAACCCTATACAGCCTACAAAAAGGGGAGACAGCCTGGGCCACCCAGGTCAAAGGAACCCCTTGACTGACTGGATTCAAGCTTTGTCTTTTCTTTTTCATTTTTTTTTTTTTTTGGTGGCACTGAGGTTTTGAACTCAGGGCCTCATGCGTGCTAGGCAGATGCTCTATTGCTTGAGCCACTGTGCCAGCCCTGGATTCAAGCTTTGGAAATTCCATTTCTGCAAAACAGTTTTTAAAGCCTTTACTTTAGAAATGACTTGAATGGCTTTATTCAGTTTTTATTTCTGGAGTGCTGGGATCTTAGAATTTTCCTAATTTATTACTTACAACTTCAGGGGACAACTTGACTTTCAGATGATCTATT